TAATTGCATAGTCCACAGATATATCTGAAATTTCTCCATTTACACTTTTCTAGTAGTATTCAGTTTTGATCAGGTGCTAATTTACCCTTCATGGAAGATAGGTACACCAGCATGATACAAACATGTCTCTTCATCACTGGCTGGTCCGCTGAATGTCTGAAAAATAGAATAATGAGAATCCATTGTTTATAATTGACTTAAGAGATTCAACGTGCCATGGTTCCTTATCGGAAAAGCAGGCAGAGAGAACAGTACCTTACTGCAGCCTCCATTCTTACAGGATGTCCCTATCTTAATTTCATCACTATCCTCCTCTATAATACAAGAAAGAGAATAAAATGCAACAGAGTAATAGACAAACATAGAAAGGTGGGGAAAATGATGGTTGGGATATTCTTACCCTTTATCTCCTGTGCATTTTCCTGAGTCAGTTTAAGCTTTTCTAAAGCCTGTTCAAGCGAAGGAGAGATCTTCTGTTGTAGACTGGAGAAAGGCTCATCTGGACTACAAAGACAATTAAAAATTGCTGTTTCCAGTCATTTATCCTTAAGAGGTTGTAACATCAATGTGGGTTTTGGCTGGGTGAACTGTTAATGAGAAGAACTTGTTCTCTATAATAGTTTTAATGCTGCATTACTTTATCTTCTGAACATCTGAAATAATGAGCCAGAAAATACAAAGGGGAAGACCCTGTCCTCTTCAAGTGTGCATTTACCTTGGTCGTTGAATAGACTCCAGAGGTTTTGGTGCTTGGGTGATGCATTCATTAAACTTTGGCTTCCCATCATTCACTTCTGGTTTAACAGACTCAGAGGGCTTCTCCTGATTATGAGGGCCTTTCGTGCAACCCTAAGAGATTCATAAATACAGACAACTGTTTTAAGACTCCAGCCAAAACTCTGTCTACGAAAACGCTCATTCAGTCTCATCACAGATGAGCACTCACAGCAATACTGAGGAAATCCGAAAAATCAGTTGTTCGTCTCTTGCAGCAAGACCAACCCTGGGAAGCAATGGAAGACACGATTTAATGGGTTTAACTGAGTAACATAACAATGGAACGGTTAAATTTCACATTAATAAGTAAACTGATCTTCTTGCATGTCCTCACCTTCAATGCATCATGAAACACTGGCACTCCAGGGTGGTATGTGCATGCATCTATGGATGAGAAGAGATTGATAGCGTGAAATGTGACGTCAAAAGAATATAGTCACATGTTAGTGTGTAGATCAAGTTTGCAACAACTGCCATCTGTAAACTATATACAAATGTACGAAATCCGATCTACTGATTAAGCATCATTTAAACGTTAAGGACCACCACTGTAGATGGCTCACTATTACTAAATTACTTTGCTAAATGATATTTACATAAAATATGGCTCTTGAGAGGCGGTCATGTTTCGTTAATAATACATGTAAGTTATATCAATAAATGTTATTAAAGACAAGAGGTTTTGTTTCTGCATTTATCCTGCTACCTACCATAGCAATCCGGCTATCGTTTTGTTTGTTAAGTCTTACCATCTGAATTCTTGTCGGGATCAAAACGTTGTCCACATCCCTTATTATAACACAGTACAGACATAATGTACGACAGAAATAAAACGTATATTGTACAACGTGGTCAAGAGGGAAGGATCCGAAGACTTGACTAGCTTGCTACTGCTGCTTCCCGTCGTGAGGTCCCTTCCGGAATCTTTCGTTAATTTCCGTAAATTGTCGTGCAGCGCCTCGGCTCCAATCGTGTATTTTCGGAATGTCTCGGAATTAGTTGAATTGATGGGATCACAGAGTGAGAGATGGGATGCACCACCTAACGGAGCTGTGAATTAAAAACACAGACCAAGAACACAGACAAGGCAGTGCATGAAAAAGAGCCCTGTTCTTTTATATTTCACGCCGCCACATAAAATTAGTTACCCCCCCCC